TTTGCCGAAGGGTATGTATGTGGTCTATGGTACTAAAGATTTTTCGGAAACCGGCTTGTTCGGGACTCTCGAAAACAGCATGTAGACGCGGTTCAGAAGGGAAATCGGTCTGTAGTTCTTCATGAAAGCGTTGTCACCTTTAGGGGCCAGGGGACTTATTTATTACCATAAGTATCTCTGCGTAGTAGTAGGCTTCCGACGATATTAAGAAGTTGGTGTTGGTGTCGGTGTGATTGAAATCAACCAGAACCATCACATAAATTTAAATTGTTTTTTCTTACTTTTGTTTAAGATAATATATTAAAGAAATAAACGATTACGGGAATAATAACACGCAGACAACCAATAATTTGTTTTTTTTTCTTGGATAACTTTTGGCTTTGTCTGAGATTCAAACATGCGGCGTATGAATTAGGTATTTACTAAATATACTGGTCATAAATTATGTTTAAAATTGTATTTTTATCAAAAAATAATTTTGTAAATTGTATAGTTCCGATTGTTCAATTAACATTGCCTGATGTCTGTAAATATAGTCTTTGTCCATTCGCTGTTTTGGAATGTTCCATCAATTTCGGTCGGTTCCGTCGATTGTCAGTAACGAAGGAATCTCCATTGATTTTGTAAAGCCAAAACAGAAAACTGTAATGAAATGTCTATCATACCGTTTGGTAGACTGAATTGATTGTTTTCCAAACAATTTGGTACGAAGCAAAATCGACATCGAATACTTTTTGAAGGATTTTACAAAAAAAAAAAATGTATACGCGTACTTGCAAATATCAAACAAAGAGAAAGCTGCAAACCTCACTTTCAAAGTCTTAAAATTCTAACATTACCGTGCCTATATATATATTAGAAATATGTAAAATCATAGACACGCCCCGATACAACGTACCTCGCTATAAGAATAACCTTTTGCAACCAAAATCTAAATTAAAATTACACAGTACAGGTCCTTACTCGATGTCAATAAAAATTTATAATAAATTGCCGGAATACATAAAAGCCGAAACAAATATTAATAAATTCATAAGATCTTTAAAAGAGATACTTATTAAAAAAAGTTATTATTCAATTAATGAATACATTGAGGAAAAGAATTTTTAAGTGTCTGTCCCTCTCCTGCTCATTGCTATGCTTTTCGAGGTGCACGTGATTGTTAGAACTTGCATGTTTTGTTTAGTCTCTAAGCCACATGTAACGCAATTTGTGAATAAATAAATAAATATATATATATATATATAAATAAATAAATAAATAAATAAATAAATAAATAAGTTTCTCGTGTCTAGAATATCAGATACGACATCATAAAGTTGGATGTACAGGATATTAAATTAGACTAATTTAACTTGACATTATTTATATTAGGATAGTTAGTAATAAAATAAGAACTATATACCTAGTTATATATATCTACCTAGTTTCTATCTAGTATATATAATTAATAAGAATATTCTTATTAATTATATATTACTAGGTATGAGTAAATCTGATTTTTAAATTAACAAAAAGTATACTAATTTAATTTAAATTTAAACTAATGAATTATGTGTACGCAAATTCAAGTTTTGTTTTTAATCACGGAAATATATTTTAATGCGCCTACAACAATATATCTACTACTAGATGCAGGAATAAATCTAAAAAAAAACAATATATTTAGGTGATTAGGGGCTTGCATTTGGACTATTTATTATTTATTTTAAAGTAGATTGGCATGATAATTTCAAATAATAAATTGGACAACCGCTAACGAGCTTAATAATATTGTTATTCCAGAAGATTTCAATGAAATGAATGCATAATTGCTCAGAATCAACACTAAAGAACCGCACAAAATTCTAAAGTTACCGTTACAAGGTTGTAGCAGAAAATTTTGTTTGATATGTATTCTATGAATGCTTAGCAGGGGTTCATTTATAATTATGAGCTTAAAGAGAATATAGAGAACATATCCATTGAGGAATTATAACCAGCTCCCCAAGGACTGCCTTACTGTGTAGAAAAGCAATCACCCAAAAATAATTATGATAATGTAACGCTGGGTGTTTCAAAACGCTCCGACGCTTTAAAAGTGAATCAAATCCAAACAAATTAGGGTGGAAGGGTGTGAAGCCTTACATGATTTATTAATTACAGTTTATAAAGCCCACCGCTGAACATAGGCGTTAGGCCTAGATTGCCTTAGGGGGGATTTGCCATAGTTGCCACTCTTGACAGTTGCGTTGGTAACTGCAGTTTTTTTTTAATTGTGAGTTGTTGTCACAAGCAAAGAATGCTGCTGCCCAACTTCTGTTTCTGTCTCTGTCGCCTTTAACGACTGACATAGAACAATATGAGGTAGAGGGTTTTCCTTTTTTCGCGAAAAGAGCATACAACCCACCTGATGGTAAGTAGATGCTGTGGCCCATAGACATCTACATTTATCCTCGATTAAAAATCAAAATGCGTTGTCACCGTTGAGAATTATGATGGAATGTAATGATATGACAATCCAGTAAAAAAGATCTCCAGTTCTCTACACTCACTATACAAAAGAGTAGCAGCATTAAGTTGCCATTTTATGTTGGTATTCTATGAAAGTATGGTCCTACTTCGGTCGAGCTGACCCATTAGTGCTACAACCATAATATAGCTGAAGCGTGACTCTACCACGTACAACCTATCTTCCACCGCCTCTCGGTTACACGGTTAACATTGCTACTACATGGTCTTTTTTCCTATATTTGGTTCACTAATAAATGACAAACAAAACAGAGATAAAGTGAGGTACATGTGGGGGAACGCTCGTTTTGCACGCTTATGTCAAAAACAATCGGTTGCTTACACAGAATTAGTTGCTCTTTCGCGGTCATCGGTGGCCGGCTATTTATGATACACATTTATTGCACAATATTGGAGAAACTCCATATAATGCCATTATTCTCGCTTGGATTTAGGTATTTAACCCTATTGAAAACTCACTAGTCGAGGTTTATCATAGTCGTCTAAGAACAGCGAGAATCTCTTGAAACATCGAGTTCGTTGTGAACTCTGTAAGTAAACAGCCTTGTCTTGCTAAAACGGGGCTGTTGTTTTACAACGACGAGAATCAAATTAGCTTGCAGAATCAAATCCACACATTATAATCAAACCGATTGATTCGTCTGTTGTAATGCATACAGTAAAGGCGTGGAATAATTTACATACATACATACATAAACACTCACGCATGTCACCCAGAGGGGTAGGCAGAGACTACGGACTTCCATTTGGCACGATCCTGACATACCTCTTTCGCCTCCTTTACATTCATATATCTATGCATACATGCTCGTCGGTTAAGGGTACTTCTAACGTGGCCCATTTTCAAAATATCGCCAATTTGGTCCATAAACTTTTTTCTAGGGCGTCCCTTCCCGACTCGGCCGTTCACATCTGCCATATAAATTTGCTTTGTCACTCTTTCCTCATTCATTCTTTCTACGTGACCAAACCACCGAAGCATTCCTTTCTTAATCCTGGTCACAACATCATCTTGCATACCACATTTATCTCTTATCACGCAATTTCTCACCCTGTCATTCAGATTCAACCCTAGCATATTCCTTTAGACCGCATTTCTACAGCATTTATTCTACTTTCGTGCTTCTTCTGCCACACCCAGCTTTCACTACCATACATTAAAGTAGGTACTAACACAGCATTATGCATTACCATACGTGCCTGTTTTGACACATTCTGGTTCTTCATAATAGAGTGTAGTGCCCCATTCACTCTATTCCCTGCATTTACTCGTCGTCCTATATCCCTATCATATCTACCATCCCTGCTAAATACACATCCCAAATACACAAACTCATCCACTTGCACAATTAACTCTCCTTCTATTCTTATTTCACATACCGTTTTGCTTTCTTCTCTTTCAAAAACCATCACTTTCGTCTTACTTGCGTTCACTTTCATTCCCCTTTCTTTTAATTCCCAGTTCATTAATGTAACCATCATTTGCAACTGAGCCGCCGATGACGCAAATATGACTTGATCATCGGCATACAAAAGGCATTTGACGGTTAACTCGCCCATTCTTAACCCACATTCTTTATCTTTCAAAGTTTGCAAACACCTGTCCATAAATAGGTTGAACAGCCAAGGGGAAGCTACACAGCCCTGTCTGACACCTTTTTGGATGCCAAACCAATCCGAGTAGACCCCATTGATCCTGACACAAGCACTAGAGTCCCTATAAAGACACCTTAATGCCCGTATCAAACCAGCGCTCAACCCATATGAGTTCAGTGTTTGCCATAACACACTCCTGTCCACTCTGTCATAAGCCCTTTCCAAGTCCATGATCGCACAAAAAAATTTCTGGTTTTTGGCCAAAAACTTCTCCGCAATCATGCGCATGGAAAAGACTAGAATGATCTGTGCACCCCATTCCCTTTCTAAAACCCGCTTGCACATCCCAAATTTTTCCATCAGTTTCTTTCATAACTCTTTCAATTAACACCTTAACATACAGTTTACCCACAATACTAAGCAAGCTGATACCGCGGTAGTTTTTGCAGTCCTGCTGTGACCCTGAAATGGAATAATTTACCGGCGTTTGTTTTATCCACGCATTATAACCAAACCGTTTGATTCGTCTGTTGTAATGCGTACAGTAAAGGCGTGGTATAATTTACCTTCGCTTGTCTTATCCACACATTATAATCAAACCGTTTGATTCGTCTGTTGTAATGCGTACAGCCAAGGCGTGGAATAATTTGCCAGCGTTTGTCTTATCCACGCATTATAACCAAACCGTTTGATTCGTCTGTTGTAATGCGTACAATCGGCCGTGTAGTGGCGGTTAAGAATATCCACTACCCCATATCTTCCCGTGGGTGTCGTAAGAGGGACACTGAAAGGAGATGGGCAGCAGCATCTTCCTAATAACAACAATAACATAATAAAAAACTGCGGTTGCCAACCCGCTCGCCAAGCGTGGCAACTATGGCAATATACCCCCCATGAACAATTACACAAATAGACGGCCCCCAGTCCCCGGCGGCCCCGCTATTCCTGGCTACGGTGGCGACCATGGTAACGGCGGGGCAGGGGGTGCTAAGAATCTCCGGTGGAGGTTCGGTTGCCACCTACGACGACTCGACCTGGCAACATTTAACGCACGCACCCTGAGGACTGACGAGAAGATCCTGGAGCAGGAAGAAGAGATAGACAAGTTGCGCTGGAATATTATAGGATTATCCGAGGTCCGAAGAGAGGGGGAGGACACGGTGATTCTCGAATCTGGCAACTTGTTCTATCACCGGGAGGGCGACCATCTGTCCCAAGGAGGTGTCGAATTTATCGTCCACAAGTCTCTCGTCAAAAACGTTGTTAAGATTGGGAGTGTGTCGACGAGGGTCGCGTACCTGATACTTAGAATCACCAAACGGTATTCGCTGAAGATCATACAGGTCTACGCACCAACCTCGGCACATCCCGATGAGGAGGTGGAGGAAATAAATGTGGATATTTCTAGAGCCATGCATTCCTCCAAAACCCACTACACGGTGTTGACTTCAACGCAAAACTAGGCACAAGAGGAGGCGGTGAGCTGAAGTTAGGGTAATTTGGAGTAGGGCAACGGAACCATAGGGGCCAGCAGCTGGCTAACTTTATGGAGAAAGAGGGACTCTTTATAATTAACTCTTTCTTCCAGAAGCGGCCCAACAGGAAGTGGACCTGGTCGAGCCCCGACGGTTCGACAAAAAATGAGATTGACTTCATTATGATGACCAGACGCCAACTGTTCAGTGATGTCTCAGTGATCGCAAGGGTGAAAACCGGCAGCGATCACCGAATGGTTAGAGGCACACTGAACCTAAACGTTAAGTTGGAGAGGTCTCGTCTAATAAAGTCAACGCTCCGTCCCCTTCGTGCTCTAATCCAGAATCCCGAGACTTTTCAGCTCGAGTTACGTAACCGCTTTCAGTGCCTAGAAGATTGCAATGCAGTGGACGATATGAATGACAAGCTCGTGGAAACTGTCCATGCGGTCGGAGCTAAGTTCTGCAAGACCCGCCGCAGAAGAATACAAAAACTCTCCGATCACACTCTTAATCTCATGGCTGTTAGACGGGTGATGAAACTGCATTCGTCAACAGATTTGACAGCATACAGGCAACTGAACAGACAGATCTCCAAATGCATGCGGTAAGACTTACGCAACTTTAATACTGCTCGTATTAAAGAAGCGATCGAGCGGAACCAGGGCTCCAAAGTCTTTGCCAGAGATCTGTCTGCCAGAAAGAGCCAAGTCAAAGTGAAGACTGAGTGTGGCAGCATCGGGACACCGAGATTTTGAGTGAGATTGAGAGGTTCTAAGAGCAGCTGTACACGTTATCGTTGGAGCCACACGCAAGTGTGAGTAACGATCCAAGAGCAAGTCTTACCCGACACTATTCCGATGATATCCCGGACGTCAGTCTGAGCGAGATTAGAATGGCTCTCCACCACCTTAAAAACGGCAGGGCCCCAGGCGAGGATGGAATTACAGCGGAGCTTCTGAAAGCGGGTGGAACACCGGTACTTGAAGTCCTTCAGAAGCTCTTCAATTCCGTCCTCCATGGTGGCACTACTCCGGAGGCGTGAAGCAGAAGTGCGGTGGTCTTGTTCTTTAAGAAAGGCGACAACGCTCTCTTGAAGAACTACAGACCGATTTCCCTTCGTCATTACGAATCGTCTCGCACGCAGACTCGACGACTTCCAGCCTCCCGAACAAGCCGGTTTCCGAAAAGGCTTCAGTACCATAGACCACATACATACCCTGCGGCAGATTGTACAGAAGACCGAAGAGTACAATCTGCCACTTTGCCTGGCGTATGTGAACTATGAGAATAGCTTTTGATTCCGTCGAAATTTGGGCGGTGCTACAGTCCCTTCAGCGGTGCCAAGTTGACTGTCGGTATGTCGAAGTGCTGAAGTGTTTGTACAGTAGGGCTACGATGACTATCCGAGTACAGAACCAGAGTTCGAAACCTATCCAACTGCAGAGAGGTGTAAAACAGGGTGACGTTATATCCCCGAAACTCTTCACCGCTGCGTTGGAAGACGTTTTCAAGCTACTGGACTGGAAATGATACGGTATTAACATCAATGGCGAGTACATCACTTACCTTCGATTTGCCGACGATATAGTCCTTATAGCAGAATCGCTGGAGGACCTTAGCACTATGCTCAATGACCTCAATGGTGTCTCCCAACGGATAGGTCTTAAGATGAACATGGACAAAACAAAGATCATGTTCAATGTCCATGTCACACCTATGCCGGTAGTTGATGAGAGCGCTATGCTCGAAGTGGTTGACGAGTACGTTTACCTGGGACAAATAGTCCGAATAGGTAAGTCCAACTTCGACCGAGAGGTCAATCGACGGATTCAACTCGACTGGGAAGCGTTCGGGAAATTATGACACATCTTCTCGTCAGGTATACCTCAATCTCTGAAAACTAAAGTGTACAACCAGTGCGTGTTGCCAGTGATGACTTACGGATCAGAGACGTGGTCCTTCACTGCTGGCCGTATGAGAACGCTCAAGGTCGCTCAGCGAGCTATGGAGAGGGCTATGCTCGGAGTTTCTCTGCGTGATAGACTCAGGAATGAGGATATCCGCAGTAAAACCAGAGTGACCGATATAGCCCAACGGATTAGTAAGCTGAAGTGGCAATGGGCCGGCCATATAGCTCGAAGAACCGATAACCGATGGGGAAGAAAGGTTCTCGAGTGGCAGCCTCGTACCGGTAGGCGTAGTATAGGGCGATCCCCCACTAGATGGAGTGACGACCTGGTAAGACATGCAGGAAGTCGATGGATGCAGGTGGCTCAGGACCGTGCTTTGTGGCGTTACTTGGGGGAGGCCTATGTTCAGCAGTGGACTTGTGAAGGGCTGTAATGATGATAATGATGAATGCGTACAACCAAGGCGTGGAATAACTTGCCAGCGTTTGTTTTATCCACGCATTATAACCAAACAGTTTGATTCGTCTGTTGTCCAAGCCAGCCAAGGCGTGGAATAATTTACCAGCGTTTGTCTTATACACGCATTATAACCTAACCGCTTGGTTCGTCTGTTGTAATGCGTACAACCAAGGCGTGGAGCAATTTACCGGCGTTTGTCTTATCCACGTATTATAACATAACCGCTTGATTCGTCTGTTGTAATGCGTACAACCAAGGCGCGGAATAATTTACCGGCGTTTGTCTTATCCACGCATTATAACCAAACCGTTTGATTCGTCTGTTGTAATGCGTACAACCAAGGCGTAGAATAATTTACCGGCGTTTGTCTTATCAACGCATTATAACCTAACCGCTTGATTCGATTGTTGTAATGCGTACAACCGAGGCGTGGAATAATTTACCAGCGTTTGTCTTATCCACGCATTATAACCTAACCGCTTGATTCGTCTGTTGTAATGCGTACAACCAAGGCGTGGAATAATTTACTGGCGTTTATCTTATCCGCGTATTATAACCAAACCGTTTGATTCGTCTGTTGTAATGCGTACAGCAAAGGCGTGGAATGATTTGTCATCGTTTGTGTTATCCACGTATTAGAACCAAACAGTTTGCTTCGTCTTTTGGTAATGCGTACAGCAAAGTAGTGAAAGAATTTGTCGGTGTTATTTGTCTCTCCATCTAAATGCAATCGGGGCGTCTTCGAGGCAAGAATGAATATAAGTTTTTTAATGCGTTTTACCATCTAGTGCTACATCACCCCTTACCACCAGGTGGGATTGTGGTCAAGCACTGGCTTATAATAAGTAAAAAAAAAAACAAAAATGGGCCTATCCAGAAATGAAATGAGATGAAATGACGTGAAATGAAACGAAATGAATGAATATCCAGAGTTGCGATACATTACATAATACGATCTGATATAAATCTTAAGTCAAACATACAAAATTTAGAATGTGTAAGCTTTGACTTAAAATGACTATGTTAAGACTTAGATACATATGAATATGTGATATATGAATATGTAATAAGTAAAGCTCATTTTTATTTGGATGGTTTTTGCGGAAAAGAGCAATCTAACTACGACACATTAACACCAGTTACACAATACCAAAGTTACAGTTTGGGTCACCATGTCGGAAAAATGCGTTATTGAACCTTACTTTTTTTAAGATCATAGAGGCGAGATGGATCAGCCTAATACTTACAGCAAGATGGGGGGTTAAACTTTTACTTTTTTAATTGTGATGGCATAACACTCGCCAACAACGGATGGAGGTGATATAGAGTGGACGGCCACGGAGCCCTTTTTTATATTAAATGCCTACGTATATATATATAATCCTCGCGGGGGCAAGGATTGGAATTTTGCCGCATATAGGCAGGGCCACGAGAAAAATACAATTTATTAAATAAATGGTTCATCCATTCATCCATCCATTTCAGCTTATGAAACTCCACTGCTAAATATAGGGGTCTCTTATGGTTGCCTTATAGGGTATTTTTCTCTAACGACACCCTCGGGATATAAATAGGCCATTAATGATTATTTAAAAAAATCTAAACAACGCCACATTAATAGACCCTACCCAGGCGAAAAGTAAAAAAAGTTAAGTTACAGCCTATATACATCCCACTGCTGGGCACAGGCCTCCCCTTATTTCTGAGAGGGTTTTAGAGCAAGGAAATGTCCGCCACGCTGCCCCAATGCGTGTTGGCACACTTCACATGTCTTCGAAATATTTTTTTTTCTTATTCCTCAGACATGCAGGTTTCCTCACGATGTCTTCCTTCACCGCCGAGCACGTGGTAAATCAGTACTTAAAATTGCAATTAACAATTTCATTGGTGCCGGCGGGGATCGAACCCGGGTTACTTGCGTTCTGTTATATTTACAGCGAGCGTTAACTATCTGAGCTACCACGGCTCTTCCAGGCGAAGCCTACATATATATAACATTGAATTGTCTATCTGTAATATCATAATAACTACCTTATGTTAAGCTAAGGGTTTATTTGATGCCATTAAGGGATGAATAGCCATTTATTATTATTATTATTATTTTTATAGAACAGGGGGCAAACGAGCATGCGGCTCACCTGATGTTAAGTGACTACCGCCGCCCATGATCAACCGCAAGACCAGGGGAATTGCAGGTGTGTTACCGGCCCTTTAGAAAGGAGTAAGCTCTTTTCTTGAAGGTCCCCAGGTCGTATCGGTCCGGAAAAATCGCCGGTGGTAAACTATTCCACAGAGAGGTTGTACGCGGAAGAAAACTCTTTTTGAAACGTACTGTGGTGGACCGCCAAGCATGCAGATGGTGTGGATGGTATCGGGACGTTTGCCGCGTAGTGCGTTCACGAAATTTGCCGGCTGGGATTAATCCGAACAATTCCTCAGAGCACTCTCCATGGTATATGCGAAATAAAATGCAAAGAGATGCAACTCTCTTCGCAGTGCCAGTGAATCGAGCCGATCGGAAAGCACTCGGTCGTCGACGATTCGAACCGCTCTGCGCAGGATGCGGTCAAGTAGAAGGAGCTGGTACTGGGGAGCCCCAGCCCAGAGATGGGAACAGTATTCCATGTGCGGCCGAACCTGCGCCTTGTAAAGTTGCAGGCGGTGTGCCGGCATGAAATACAGTCCCGCTTTGCTGAGCACGCCAAGCTTTTTAGAGGCCAATTTGGCCTTCTCTTCCAAGTGACCACGAAACTACACGTCACTCGATATGTCAACGCCGAGGATTCCGATACTGGCTGAGGCAACAAGGGGAGTGCCTTGAAACTGAGGAGATACGACAAAGGGGTTCTTTTTAGCGGTTAACGCGCAAACTTGTGTCTTCTGGGGGTTAAACTAGACTAGATTTAGTCGCCCCCAATCCGAGACTCTGTTCAGCAAGGACTCGACTTCAGACACAAGTTTGTCCCGGCACTCGGAGACGTTTTCCCGAGAAATATTGGCTAGGCCGGTGTAAAGAGCATCACCAGTGCTGTCATCTGCATAGCAATGAATGTTACGGGTTTGCAACATATCATTGATATGCAGAAGAAACAGCGTTGGCGATAGCACGCAGCCTTGTGGAACACCAGCATTAATAGGCTTGCAATCGGAGCTTGCACCGTCTACAACGACCTTGATTCTCCGATCTGCAAGAAAGCTGGTGATCCAATCGCACAATTTCTCGGGCAGCCTATAGGAAGGGAGCTTCAAGGAATAGCTTTGTGCCAAACCCGATCGAAGGCCTTCGCAATGTCCAAACTAACGGCCAATGCCTCCCCCTTGGACTCTACTGCCTCCGCCCATCTGTGAGTTAGGTAGACCAGAAGATCACCAGCTGATCGACCAAGGCGGTCACTAATCAGCTGGTGATCCTCAAGGTACCTCATGAGCTGGCAGTTTACAATGGACTCCATTGTTTTGGAGAACAAGAAGGTGATGGCGATAGGCCGGTAGTTGGACGTGTCTGAGCGGTCGCCTTTTTTAGGGATCCGATGGACGAAAGCCGTCTTCCATGATTTTGGGACTACGCCTAGGGAGTAGGAGCACCAGAAGAGACGTGTTAAAACCGGTGCCAACTCTGGAGCACACGTCCTCAGCACAATTGGGGGGATTCCGTCAGGCCCACTGGACTTGTGGATGTTCAGGGAGAGGAGTGCTTTGCGAACCGAGCGCTGTGTGAACTGAACTTCCGGCATGGAGCACTCACACCGCAGGATGGTCGGCGGCGTACTCCCCCCGTCATCGAGAGTCGAGTTGGACGCAAAGAGTGAGCCTAACAGGTCGGCTTTCTCTCGGTCGAGTCGTTCTCTCTGTGCAGAGATGGAAGAGATAACTGACAGAAATTTATTGCACTCACTCACTCTCTCATCACTTTAATGCTACAATTTTTTTGCATACAGTATATCGTGGTATATACCGTTAAATATCGTAGTATAATACCTATCATAAGTTTCTTCTTCAGATAGTTTTATTTGACTCCCTACATATGTTTCGGCTTTCTCCTTTGCGGTATGGGCCAGTGAGTCGTCCTCCCTGTGCAGAGATGGAAGAGATGGCTGACAGAAATTCCCCTGGACAGCCTTGGCGAGAGACCAGAATGTACGAGTTCCAAAAGGAAGGCGAACTAGTTTCTCGCCAATTCTGCCTATGTGCTCTGACTTTGCCTTAGCAATGACTCTTTTGAAGGACCTAGAGGCGGAATTATACTTCTTTTTTATAGCGCTGGTGTTTACATCCCGGGACGCTGATGCGTCAGCCCAGGCTCGGTAGCATTCCTGCTTATAGCATGATGCTATTTTACTGGAGCGACCAAACCATGACTGAGATTTGCCTCCAATGGGCACCACAGAGGAAGGAATAAAAAGTTCCATACCCTGAAGTACCA